CATAACGGGATTTGTTTGCAATGCTTTAAGATTTACGTGTTAGTTTTCTTAATAAAGAAATGCACTGATGTAGGGCGCGATTGGTTCGGGTAAGGAAAGATAGATTCGTGATCTTTTGTATGTTAGGAAATTATTGGTTTGCAAGGAAAGAGTGGAGAGAAAAAGAACCAGTACGAGGGGGTGGTGGGAGGTGGGACGAATAAAAACCGGATGAAATTGGGAGGTGGGAGGGGGCGAGTAAAAACCGACGAAAAAAACCAACGAAATTGGGAGGTGTGAGAGAGGATGAAAAAAAACCAGGGGAGGTGGGAGGAGGACAAAAATAAACCGTATGAGGAGTAGAGATTGTTTGTGAAAATAACATGCGACGACGACTTAGCGAGCGGATCCCCTTAAAAAAGACATAGCGAGCAAATTCCCTTAAAACTGGTAGAAATGGATACGATTGATGACATTGATAAATAGTGGTGAATGTTGGCGTAATTTACTATCATCATGCATGGAAACGAATCATCAAGAAAAAGAATACTTCCTATTACTACACTCATAGGAAGCTTCCTAATCTCTGCTACCAAACAGTTTCTGCCCAAACAAGGAAGGAAAGTTATGGACGTGATTCGAAAGGAAACAAACGTTATGAAGATTAATTAATTTAGATTTGATCTTTAGAGATTGATTGTGATTGATTCTTTTACATAAAGACATTACTAAATAATTTGCGTCAGTGAAAGTTCTGATCCGTTCAGTTTTTTTTGTTGTGTGAGAGGGTGAAGTGAAAATAAACCGATGAAGTGGGGGAGGCGACGAAAAAAATCTACGACAGTTAACCTACGAAAAAAACCGGACGAAAGTGGTGGGACGAAAATTGACCGGCGAAGACTACCAACTGCTCCATTAGGAGTAGAGATTGGTTGGTTCGATTTTTTTTGCGTGGAGGGAACTACCTGGGAGGTGGGAGGGAGTAGGAAAATAAACCGTCTCGGCTGAGCGGGAGGTGGGAGCAAGTACCAAAGAAGTACCAAAAAAGACCGGGTGAGGTGGGACGAAAATAAAACCCGGAACGCGACCTACCAACTGAGACATTAGGAGTAGAGATATTAACAAAAGTGCAGATCCCGTCCCACTCTTCACTTTTTGACAAAAAACTTCCGAATAGCAATCTTGGTGAGTGATCTCGACCGGGTTCGATCGGCATGGCGTGTCGTTCCTCTAGGAGTGGGTGCTGAGAGGAAGGATGGCAAACCTCCATTGTCAATCGGCCGGAGCTGCATCGTCATTTGGATCAGAGCATGGACGAAATCGATATGGTAGAGGTTGAGGAATTTGTAGGACGTGAGGGTTTAGGGTGGGCATCACGAGAATTCACCCATATCTTGGGAGACGGCAGACCCGAGGTGCAGTCGTGTTCGTGCTTTAGGGGCTGCCACGTGCTGTCCTCGCCGCCATCGCCTGTCGATGCCACTTCAGTGCCACGAGCATGGGACTGAGGGACGAAGGGAAGAAAAGGGAAGGAAGCGAGCTAATGACGTACCTATGTTTGGTATGTAATACCCTCCATTAAGAGTAGATATTTTCTTAAAATCGGTTATTTTGTTTCCTAATTAATGTGATTGAGCAATTTAAGGTAAGGTTAATTAATTTAGATTTGATATTTAGAGATTGATCGTGATTGATTCTTTCACATAAAGACATTACTAAAAATAACTTGCACCAGCATGAAAAGTTATGATCCGTTAAGATTTTTTTCGTTGTGTGAGAGGGTGACGCGAAACTAAACCGGTGGGGTGGGGGAGGGACGAAAAAAACCAGCGAAATAAAACGGGTGGGAGGTGGGAGGAAGTACCAAAGAAGTACCAAAAAAGACCGGGTGAGGTGGGACGAAAATAAAACCCGGAACGCGACCTACCAACTGAGACATTAGGAGTAGAGATAATACCCGATTAAGTCTTGTTTGGTACTCTTCGTCCTTCATACGTAAGACAAGTCATTAAGTCAAGCACTTACATTGTTGCCCCGACACTCTGGATCAACGCTTGATGCATGGCCACTGACTCACCCTGTTAACTAGCTGGAGTATATATAAGACGCTTGATGCGCAGGCCCCGAACATCACATCCATCACTAGCAGCAATTCATAGCGGAAATCAAAGACGCTTGATCGGTTGGGGGCAGCAATGGCCACATGTGTTAGTGTGCTCGGGGTGGGCTTCCTCTGCCTGCTTGCAATGTTGTCGCCGTCGGCGCAGCAAGCCCCGCCCCCCGACTCCCCAGATTTAAGCTCGTCAATAGACACAGACACCCCACCTCTCCCTGACATACGCCCGCCCCCGAGCTCCCCGCGCGGCTATGAGTTGGACGTGGCCCCCAGGAACGTCACGTGCAAGGATACCGACGGTAAGCGGCCGGGGTGCACGGGAACTTGCCCTCGCGCTGCCCCCAGTGCATCGTCGTCTGCCCCAACTGCAAGACACTATGCCGTAAATACCCACATATTGTTGGTTGCTTGCACGTATTACATCTAAATACATCTGTTTGAGCCACAAGTAATTCCGGATGGAATGCATGTACCCACTTGCTGGTGCAGATGACGAGGTACAGATGCCAAGGCCGGTGCCGCCGCCTGCCATGTTTGTGTTCGGAGATGGGGCGTTCGACAACGGCAACAACGGATACTTGGAGCCCCCTAACTACCCCTACTCTTTTTTTTTGCGGGTGAAACACATCTATTAATTAACCAGAATCACTAGAGTCTTTATGACATAAAGCGGCAACCTCATCAGGTACGCACCCTAGCCAAACAGCAGTTTTAGGGAGCTCTCGTCCCATCCTTGCTAGGGCGTGGCTGACCAAGTTTTGGTCACGTCCAATGATCTTGATTTCATGCGGTCTAGTACTAAGAAGATGCTGAGTCTCATTGACCATGGCTGCAACAGGAGATCTATCCACTTCCTCAGCGTTGATCATACATGCTAAGGCCGTGCAGTCCGTCTCCACCAGGAGCTGCTCTGAGCTTCTGTCGAGGGCCAGCGTGACACCTTCCATGAGAGCCGCGGCTTCCGCTTCCAGGGCACTGGCACATCGTTGTATAAAACGGCATGATGCGAAGATGATAGAGCCACTGTGGTCGTGAAGTATCATTCCAGCTCCACCGCTGCCATCCTCGTTCATCCACGAGCCATCCACATTCAGTTTTACCCACCCCATCGGTGGCTTCTTCCATCTTTCTGTTGGTGTTGGGCATCCCTTCCTCATCACTTGTTGGCTTCGATCTCCTCCTTGATCAATATAAGAGACCACAGTCTTCCCCTTCACAACATCAGCATGTGGATGTTGTCGTATGCTCAGGAGTGTGTCGATGTAGCCACATAAGAATCTGCATGATGCTTCTACTGGTGGTGCTGGTTTGCCGTGGTAAACTTCATTGCGAACATGCCAGTTACGCCAAAGTGTCATGATCACAGGGAGACGCACATCTTCCGTGCATCCATCTAGCAGGTGGATGATCCATTCAGAGCCAGTATTGATGATGGTCTCCACCTTGGGCATTCTCCATATATCGGCCATGGCTTTCCAAAGACTCTGGGCCAAAGGACATCTGCATAGTGCATAAAATGTATCCTCGCTCCCCATGCCACATAGAACACATGTATCAGTAATCTCAAGAGTGCGAATTTTTTTACTTTGTAAAGTGGCCAAAGAATTTGTGGCGACCCGCCAAGCAAAGACTCGTACCTTTGGGGGAGCAGGGCACCCCCACACTACCTTCCAGACGGCACGAGTGCCGTCCGGTGCCCTGCTCGTGGCGCACGCGGTGGTGCGGGTACGTTCCTCCAACGCCGTCTTGTAGGCGCTGCGAACAGTGAAGACTCCATGTGTGTCAGGTGCCCAAGAAAGTACATCCTCCAGTCGCCTAGGGCTGGCCTTGATCCCCAAAATGCATTGGACATCAAGGTCAGAGAAGTGTTGCTGCAGGAAGTCCACTCGCCACCGGCCATTAGCATCAAGAAGTTCAGAAACCCGTCTGAGCCGGCAAGTAGCTCGAGGAGTGATTGGCCGGTAGGACGTGGGCCTCGGAATCCAAGGGTCCCGCCAGATGCGTATATGCTCGCCATTACCCACTCGCCAGATGAGCCCTTTTTTAAGGAGCTCGAGGCCGTGCTGGATGGCATGCCACATCGGCGATGAGTTACATGAAAAGACAGTGTCCTTGAGAGACCCATTAGGATAATATTTCGCCTTCAAAACCTGAGAGCATAAGGACTCCGGTCTGGTTAGAAGGCGCCAGGCTTGACGTGCAAGAAGTGCTTGGTTAAATAAACGGAAATCTCTGAACCCTAGTCCACCCTTTCCTTTTGACTCTAGCAGTTTATCCCATGCAAGCCAATGGGTCTTCCTCTGTCCTTGCTTCGAACCCCACCAGAAGTTCCTCACGAGTCGTGTGAGATCTTGCCGATGCCATTGGTACGTGTGTGCACACCACATCATACACATAATATCTCTTCAGCGCCGATCATGTTTGATGGATTGTTTGGTTGATTTCACGGTGCCCAGCATACGCTATTGGATTCCCGCAAAGCCCTCTACCTTTCATGTCGTTGCGTGGCCGGATCAGTATGTGGGGCGCCAACTACGCTTCCATGGGTGCTGGGATTCGGAACTCCACGGTAAGTCGTCAACCAATTCCACTTTATTTGCACTCATTTTAGAAAAACAAATCGACGAGAATAGAAATAAGAGAAGAAACGAGAGATGCGTGCAGAACGGAGAGCGGAGCATCCCTCTTTCGCAGCAGCTGGAGGACTTCAGGACGACGAGGGCCCTTATGGGGATAATGCTAGGGGGTGAAAGCCAAGCTGAGCGCGTACCTGTCCAAGTCCATCTTCCTCCTCGGCATTGGCGGTCAGGACCTCGACCCAAGATGGAACATACACCTCGCAAATTCGACCGAGATCCAGAGCCTCGTTGCCCTATACGGGGAGGCCGTCACGTCCCTCTACGACATGGGCGCTAGGAAGCTGGCCATCGTCAACGTTGGGCTCATCGGCTGTGCGCCCCAGATCTTCGACTACAGGTACGGTTGCGACCAGAGCATGAACGACCGTGCCGCCGCGTTCAACGCCGCCCTCAAGCCCGTCATGTCTAGCCTTGCGTCAAAGAAGAAGGGCCTTTTCTACTCCATCGGGGACTTTCATAGCTTCACCACCACCGTCTTCGCCGACCCGTCAGCTTATTGTACGTAAACAGCCCACGGGTACGATACTCATGAGAAGCAGTCTAGGATTTATCCTCCTTTTATTTATTATATTAGGAAAATGAGAAGCTGTTCGTTTGAGTATTTATGTTATTTTAATTTATTGTGGTTTGCTTAACTAGTTGTTCTGTTGTGCGTGGTGCAGGGATGATGAACACCCAGGACTCGTGTAGCTTCAAGGACCACCCAGAGAGGATGTGCTCTCCCCAGGAAGAGTACTGGTTCTGGGATTCAGAGTTCATGACGGATCAGGCATGTAGGCTGACGGCCACTGCATTTTACTATGGACCGCCTCAGTTTACGGCCCCAATGACCTTCAAGGCACTGCTGGAGAAATAATACTCCAACTCCAATTGTGTGGCTCCCTCAGCAACCGGTATATAGCAATAAGTACGCCATGAATGAAGAATAAAAATAGGCTATTCCAGCCTTCTACTACCCATGATGAATAAGATGATGAATCTTCTTTGCACCACTGTCTATTCGCCAAATAGTGTTCTCCCGTACGTATTGTGATAGGCGCAGATTGTCTCACATAAGGGCATGGCCATCGCGTCACCCTAAACCTGATGCCCTACAGGCCAGCTAGGTTCGGATGCCACTGTGGCGATGCAGGTATAGCTTACAAATGACAGGCGCAGCTTGCAGAGGAGACGGCCACTTCAGTTGAAAAAGTGAGAAAGGTTCAGAGAGAGAGAGAGAGAGTTAGAGAGGGGGAAGAATAGGAGAGGATGGCGACCTTGCTGCGCGCTGCATGGGAGATTTCTGGCGCTACCTAGACCCCACGAGATGACAACTTGCGCTGGGCACTAGAAAAACATAAGACGAGGATAACTGCCACACGTGTGGGCGTTAAGGAGCCTGCTCACACGTTTTGTGTGATGTCTAAGAGGACCAACCCACACGCCTACGTGTGGGCAAAACAACTAGCGTCCACACGCCTCTTTTTTTGTTGTTGCGGTCCCTCTCACATGTCTACGTGTGGGCAAAATGCATAACGACCACACGTCCTCTTTCAGCCACATACCTCACGGTCCCGCACGCCCCGCGTGACAGTCACCACGCGTCCCGACAGTTACCATGGTCTGGACCTTCTTCAATGTCCGTTTAACTGCAGTTGCCATGTCGCTGAACTACAGTTGCCATGGTTGCTCAACTATAGTTGCCATCTCAGGTCAAGTGCCAGATGCCATTTTGGACAACTGCACCTGTTGCCATGTATGGTCTGGTTTACTATAGTTGCCATGATTTGAAAACCTTAGGAGTTGCCACCTACTAACACTAAGCAGTTGCCATGTATGATCTCGTTTACTACAGTTGCCATGATTTGAAAACCTTGGGAGTTGTCACCTACTAACACTAGACAGTTGCCGTGTAGCGCTACAAAAGAGACATGGCAAAACAACATGTTCGGGTAAAAGAGAGAGTTTCCATCTGCTTACAAGCACACTAGGGTAGTTGCCGTGTACCCTGCAAAATACATGGCAACTGACATGTTCGGATAAAAAAAGAGACAGTTGACATCTGCTTACAAGCACGCTAGGGCAGTTGCCATGTACACTGCAAAATGTATGGCAACTGGCAGCTTGGGTGTGCAGAGAGGAGACGGGTGTGTGGGCGAGATGGCAAATGCCCACCCACCAACCCTTGTGCGTGAGTGAAAACTGGCGTGTGGGCGAACTGCTAAACGCCCACACACCGGCCCCTCCGTGTGGTGAAACAGACGTGTGGGCGACCGGGTGAATGCCCACACACCAGCCCAGTCCTACGTGGCACCACAAACATACCAAGATTCGTGCACCCACAAATGGACGCGGATCCACGCGTGCGGGTGAGATACAAACGACCACACATGTGGGCGTTAGTGTTATGGTGGTTTCAGATTTTTATGGCTAGGTGGACTATGAGACAGCACCAAACCGGTGCTTTCATTGTACATGCCCTAAGTTAGCTGACTTTGGATCGTTCACATGTGGGCCACTGTGTTGATGGGCCCACATGTCAGTCAATCCAATATCAATGGTGTTGGGAATAAGTCATGACGAAGCACGGTACGACCGGCGTCGTTGCGTTAGGTCAGGTCCGTGACGGCGCGATCGGCGTCAGTGCACCAGATCAGGTCCTCGGGGTTGGGTCACGGCCGTGTGTGTGTGTAGCGGGTGTGTGCGCATGTGCGTGGTGTGGTGGTACGTGAAAGTTATTTCCTCCGTTTCAAAATAAATAACTCAACTTTCTACTAAGTTAGTATAAAACTGAATCATGTATTTTAAAACAACGGGAGTAGGTGGCTAGGGTTGCATGGGGAGCGGCCGCGGTACGCGCCCGGCCGGGCATGCTGGTCGTGCATGCGTGCCCAGCGAAAACATTGGGGCTGCGTTGCCGTTAGCTACAGAACTGGATGCTCTTGTGTTTGTTACGTGGGGTGTGGTGCGACGCAAAAGTTTGAGCTCAGGAAAATATGCTGTACGAGCATCGGGCGTTCCTCACCAGGAATCCATCCGTGTCCACCGTGTCCTCCCCTACTTTTTTCTTTCTTCTTCCTTGGTTTGAGCCAGAGAGAGAGAGAGAGCAAGAATTAGAGTAGGGTTAAACCCCCAACAATCGGACTTTTGTTAGAGAATCCACACCGTGTCCGGCGGTTGGCCGCGGCTGTGGCAAGACGGGACAGGGCCAGGGACAAGCGGCTCTGGAGGGCGGCCTTCGGCTCGGGCTGGTGTGCTCGGGCGTGTTCCTTGGCGACGATGGCGTGAGGCATGCGGCTGGTGCATGCACTACTGGAATCATGATCTTTACCGTTAGCCAGTTCTTTGCCGTCTGCTAGCTGACGGTAAAGAAGATCTTTGCCATCAGCTTGCAGAAAACTGACGGCAAAGACAGAGCTGACGACAAAGATCATGTTTGCCGTCAGCCAGCTCTTTGAGCGTGGGTGGCCCACTAACGAGGATGACCTAACGGCAATTTTTTTTGCTGTCTGCTAGCAGAAGTCAAAGCTTCTTTGCCGTCTGCTAGTGGACGACAAAGAAAGAGTGGCCAACCTAACGGCCGTTTTCCCCGGCCCCACCTCACTAGCTAGGCTCTTTGTCGTCTGCTAGCAGATGAAAAAGAGCTATGACCTAACTAAAAAGTGGCCAGCGCCCGTACCCCCACCCTTCTCTCTCTTCCCTCACCTCACCCGCGTCGTCGCCCCCGTGCCCGTGCCCGAGCCGCCCACGCCCCCGACCCCCAAGGCACCCCGCCCCGCCGCCTCGGAGCCAAGGTGAGTTTTTTTTGTTTTTTTTTTCTACTGTTCTTTGCTGTTTAGGTTTAGGTGTTATTAATAGGTTTAGGTCAGTGGTGGGTTTAGGTTAGTGCTAGGTTTAGGTTTAGATAATTAGAAGAAGAAGAAAGTTGAAAAAAAGAAGAATAAGTAGAAGAAGTGGAAAAAGGAAAAAAGGAAGAGGGTCGTGGATCGCCGGTCGCCGAGGGGATAGATGGCGGAGCCAGTGGGTCCCGCCGCTCCCGACGCCGTCGCCCATGCCGCCCCCGGTCCGAGCGCTGACCCGTCGAACGTGCTTCGCCATACCAGAGGGCGCCCGGGGACGAGCGGGTTTGTTGGTTCCTCGACGTCGATGGAACCCTAAATAGCAAGTATCGTCGGTGCGAGATACATGCGGACGTCGATGTCGAACACTACATCCACGTCCCACAAGTGACGCCGGGATCCGGTGTCCCGTGGCAACAGTTCTCGGGGTCGATGGCGGTCGAACACCTTGATACGTCCATTTTGCATCAGGCTTTTATATCGATATTTATTGCATTATGGGCTGTTACTACACATTATGTCACAATACTTATGCTTTTTGTCTCTTATTTTACAAGGTTTACATGAAGAGGGAGAATGTCGGCAGTTGGAATTCTGGGCTGGAAAAGGAGCAAATATTAGAGACTTATTCTGCACAACTCCAAAAGTCCTGAAACTCCAGGAAAGTCAGTTTTGGAATATATTAAAATATTGGGTGAAGAAAGCACCAGAGGGGGGCCACCCACCGTCCACGAGGGTGGAGGGCTGCTACCTCTTGAGCACTGCGTTGGATTTCCCCGAAGAGGAGACGATGATGCAGTAAAGTAACGTAAGTATTTTCTTCAGTTTTTGAGAACCAAGGTATCAATCCAGTAGGAGACCACGCACAAGTCCCTCGTACCTACACAAAACGATAGCAACTCGCAACCAACGCTTAGGGGTTGTCAATCCTTTCACTGTCACTTACGAGAGTGAGATCTGATAGAGATAATAAATAATATTTTTGGTTTTTTTGATATAGATAGATGCAAAGTAAAAAGTAAAAGTCAAAGTAAAACAAAGCAAGTAAATAAACTGATATAGATTGGTATGATGAGAATAGACCCGGGGGCCATAGGTTTCACTAGTGGCTTCTCTCAAGAGCATAAGTATTCTACGGTGGGTGAACAAGTTACTGTTGAGCAATTGGCAGAATTGAGCATAGTTATGAGTATATCTAGGCAATGATCATGTATATAGGCATCACGTCCAAAACAAATAGATCGAAACGATTCTGCATCTACTACTATTACTCCACTCATCGACCGCTATCCAGCATGCATCTAGAGTATTAAGTAAAAACAGAGTATCGCCGTAAGCAAGATGACATGATGTAGAGGGATAAATTCCTGCAATATGATAAAAACCCCATCTTGTTATCCTCGATGGCAACAATACAATACGTGCCTTGCAACTCTTTCTGTCACTGAGTAAGGACACCGCAAGATTGAACCCAAAGCTAAGCACTTCTCCCGTTGCAAGAACTACCAATCTAGTTGGCCAAACCAAAAAGATAATTCGAAGAGACTTGCAAAGATAACTCAATCATACATAAAAGAATTCAGAGAAGAATCAAATATTTTCCATAGATAATACTGGATCATAAACTCACAATTCACGGGTCTCAACAAACACACCGTAAAAAGAAGATTACATTGAATAGATCTCCACGAGAGAGGGGTAGAACATTGTATTGAGATCCAAAAAGAGAGAAGAAGCCATCTAGCTAATAACTATGGACCCGAAGGTCTGAAGTAAACTACTCACACTTCATCGGAGGGGCTATGGTGTTGATGTAGAAGCCCTCCGTGGTGGATGCCCTCTCCGGCGGAGTTCCGAAACAGGCCCCAAGATGGGATCTCGTGGATACAGAAGGTTGCGGTGGTGGAATTAGGTTTTTGGCTCCTGTTCTGATCGTTCGGGGATACGTAGGTATATATAGGAGGAAGGAGTACGTCGGTGGAGCTCCGAGGGGCCCACGAGGTAGGGGGCGCGCCCAGGGGGGCGCCCTCCACCCTCG